CGCCTGACACCTCAGCTCAGCTGCCAAAGGGCTACCCCCAGAACAGGACAGCGCAGAGCCTGCTGTGGCTGGGGGCATGCGGGGGGGGGGAAGGGACCCCGGCACAGAGATATTGTGAAACACTTGGTGGAGAGGACGTTTATCAGGAACAGTCGACATGGCGTCCCCAGGGGCAAGTCCTGCCTGCCCAAGCCGGCTGCCTGCTGCGATGGGAGAACTGGCTCTGGGCTGTGTTGAAGGTGGCGGACATGACAGCTGGATGGTAGCAGAGCTTGTGATGCACTTTCCCGCACTGCTCTTGCTGGCAAGTTCAAGCAGCATGGCCAGGCTGAGCGGACTGTACTGCGGATAGCAGGGTGGCAGATGGTGGCAGTTAGCGTCACACGGCCTGCCGCCGCAGTTGGGGGTGTCCAACACCCTCATTAATGAGCTGGCTGACGGTGTGCTTTGCACTGCCGGCCACAGTTGCGGATGACGCTACGCGGGGGCACGGTAGATACGTTGCCGGGTGGGGTCCAGAGTGACCTAGACACATTGGAGGGTTGGGCCAAAGGAAATCTGATGAAGTGCAGAGTCCTGCTGTTAGGAGGGAAGACTCCCGAGCCCTGCTACAGGCTGGGGACCGACTGACTAAATGGTAGTTCTGCAGAAAGGACCTGGTAGGAGCACTGCCAGCTGACCTAGGCTATGTCTATACTGCACATTGTTGTGCAAGAAGGTATGCAAATGAGGCATGGGGATGAATATCTCCACACCTCATTTGCATACCTAATGAGCTGCCATTTTTGCAGAAGGGGCTTTTGTGCAAGGAGCCGTCTACCCCGCTCCTTCTTGTGCAAAAAAACCCTCTTGCGCAGAGCCGTTCTGCTGCTTCTTTTCAGGAAGAACGGCTCCTGCGCAAGAGGGATTTTTGCGCAAGGAGGAGCAGGGTAGACAGCTCTTTCTTGCACAAAAGCTCCTTCCGAAAAAATGGTGGCTCGTTAGGTATGCAAATGAGGCACGGCGATTTTCATCCTCACACCTCATTTGCATACCTTCTTGCGCAACAATGCGCAGTATAGCTAGAGCCCTCAAGAGGTGATTATTCCCTTCTATTTGGCACTGGTGAGGCCACATCTGGAGTCTCACGGCCAGTTTTGGGCCCCCCACTATAGAAACGATGTGGACAAATAGGAGGGCAACAAAAATGCTGAGGGGCAGAGCACATGGCTTATGAGGACAGGCTGAGGGATTTGGGTTTGTTTAGTCTGCAGAAGGGCGGGTGAAGAAGGGGCCAGGCTGTTCTCAATGGCGGCAGAAGACAGGTCTCAGTTGCAGGGGAGGCGGGATATTAGGAAAAACACTTCCCCTGGGGGCGCAGTGCAGCACTGGGCTGGGTCGCTGAGGGAATCTCCAACCTTGGGAAGTTTCTAAGGCCCAGCCTGACAAAGCCCAGGCTGGGGGGGTGGCCCTGTGGCCCCTCTTCCTATCCAAATCTCCCATGATAGCCTGTTCCACAGGGGCGGGGCCTGAAATGTGCCTCAGCTGAGCGGCGATCACAGGAGGCTGCAGGATTCCCCAGGGCTCAGCCAGCATGAAGCCCTCCCCAGTTAGCAGCCCTGGAACAGGAGCACCATTGCCCTGGTGCCCTGGCTGCGCACTCAGGAACGATGCCTGGCACAGCCCTGGGGCCTGGCCTTCCCCACCCAGGAGGCTGCAGGATTCCCCAGGGCTCAGCCAGCATGAAGCCCTCCCCAGTTAGCAGCCCTGGAACAGGAGCACCATTGCCCTGGTGCCCTGGCTGCGCACTCAGGAACGATGCCTGGCACAGCCCTGGGGCCTGGCCTTCCCCACCCAGCCTGGGCCGCCTGCCGGCTGTGAACGCGCCTTGTGCCCCGCAGCGGCTCCCGCCTGGGGGGCCAAAG